GCAACAGATCAGGGGAGCCAACCTTCTTTTTTTTCACTATCTTCACTTCTTTCATTAGTTTCATTAGTTTCATTAGTTCCAATTCCTGTATTTCCTGCATTTCCTGCATTAGTTCGTTCCATCTTGCTTAACTGAACACAGCCTTGCCCCGGTGAGATAAAAGCATACGCCAGTCTTCGATTGGTGGAACTTAACTTGACAGAGCTGTAATGAGCTGTGCTGCACTGTATGTACTGGGTTTCAGATTGGAGCAGAGGGTGAAGGGGGAGGGGTAGGGGGAAGGATACACAGGAGGGAAAGGGAGGGAGAATAAGATCTAAGATTTGAGAAACGACTATGAATTTGGACCTGAGAGCGGCCATGCCATTGTTGTTTTCTACGACGGTTTCCAGCCGCTACTTTTCACTTTGCGTGGAACTCGCGAACTACGAAACGAGTTTTTTCAGGCGCATACGATACAAATGTATCTCGGTTAGAGTCCGTACTAAATTCACTTTCATTCGGTTTGAATCCGTGCTACATCCACTTTACTGTCGATAAGTAGAATTGCCAAGCATCGAGAGCATCGGTGATGGAGGCACTCACACAAACGTAAAAATTTTTGATTTACAATTAACATCAAAATTTTTTGTCACATTTTTGATATATTGAAAAGTCTCCGAAATACATTTTATTATTTTCTTTAATTCTGTAGAGCCGTTTTTCTATCCGAGCAATAATTACGAAAAACACCTCTTAATACGAATTATTTCGATCGGTAATAACAGGACGGTCCAGGCCCCTCTTAAAGTGCACTTTTTTGTGTATTTTGAATAAAAATAAAATAGCGTATAAAGAAGTAATTATTATTTCGTCATGCTTTTTCTATTTATTAAAAATCAGGTAGATTACTTTTTATGTTTAATAATAAAGTGTTGCTTTTTGATATTATATACATTTCATATATAATAATACATATATTTTCTCTCGGCTATATACAATTACAAAAACAGAGAAAATAAGTAAGTTAAGTGTTTTTTAAGTACTAATTGTGTAAAACTAAACAAGAAACTTTTACAGTTGCCACATCTTAAAACCACAATATAAAGCGAGAAAATATGACTTGTACGGTCTCTTATTATTTTCATGTTTAAGTTGCCAAGTTGTTTTTCAGTTTCATTATGTGACTCTTGTGACTTTTCTGTTACCGTTGTTTATTTTATATAATTCTCACAGTTTTCTTAAAACTTATATAATTGTGTTTTAACTTATATTGTTTTCCTAAAACTTATATTAAAAATAAATTGCATTGGAAACAAATGTTTGTGAAGCTTTTCTTTCTTTCTTTCTTTCCTTTTTTTTTCGATCTATGTATAATAATATGCCATGTAAAACTCGTTCTACACACGCGACACAGACGCGAGTCGCAGGTCTTCCGGATGTTGTTCAATCATGTTAGTCGATTTGATCAACGTGATCGAATGATCAATTTTGCAACAAGAACTGCAACTTGCAACTCGTGTCTGCATCTTTATGTAGAACGACTTTAAAATGAAAAACAGAAATTCGTAGAATTGGTGTGAGAATCTGATGACCAAGAGGAATGAGTTTCTTTTTCCTACGAAACTGTCAATAGAACGCCTTATTGACTAATAGCAGAGAGAAGACTGAGAGCGGCTATCCTGTTGTAGTATCTTACGACAGTTTCAGCCGCTGGTTTTAGCGTCGTATCCGCAAAAGTGGATCTCAAAGTTCCCGTTCTACATTAAACGCAAGTCGTAGGTCTTTGAGATCCACTTTTGTGAATATTGTGCTAAAACCAGCGGCTGAAACCGTCATAAAAAACTACAATAGGATGGCCAACTCTCATGTCGCTCTCTGATGGTAGTAACAAACACACTTGTATCAAAAAACGCTGCATATCGATAATGCCACACTGTTAATCTTTCCTATTTTCTTCTCAAAACGTAAAATTGTTTGTTATTTAATATCTAACGTCACAAATAACATATAATTTTATTTATGTATGTGACGAACGCCGAAGTGACAAGATGGAAGCCATCTTGTTACGGTGTGTACAAAACCATGACATCTTTAGCATAGAAACATATATACTATAATTCCTGTTAAAAAAATATATATTTAATATTATGTATAACTATTAATCATACAATTATATATTACTGTTATCTGTACGTGTCACATTATTGTGTACATAATTATATATTTACGCGTGAAAATTACATTGTAACATGTAATTTACATCTAAAGTATAACAAAAAAACGTGCATAAGAGAAAAATTTATATATAATAGTATTTGAATATATAATTATATGTATGATTATATATACATAATTATTATATACAATATTATTGCATATAATAATTATTATATATACAAAATATAATTATATTATATAATTTAATAGTAAAATTTCTCTTCCCTCTTATTTACAAACGCATTCTGTTATCTTAATTTTATGTAAATGCATAATTATATACACAATAATATAACATATATAAATTAATTAATTATAGAAATTGTAATAATTAAATGTATAATGTGTGTGATATAATTATTTAATATTTATACTATAAGTAGTTTTTTTTAACAGAAATTACAGTATATGTTTCTATACAAAACGTTCTAATTTATTACACACATGTATACAAATACATTATTATTATTATTATGATTCTAAAGTGAGTCGTATTTTTTGTAGTTTATACGTAGAAGAGACAAACTGTATCCCGGATGCAATTGTTTTCCGGGATAACATAAAGAATAACAATACAGAGTTCTCAGAAATTAATTTAGAAGTTGAGTGTAAATAAATAGTGTATTAAAAGTATACATGATCACTTTTGTAAATATTTCAGCACTTTATTTATTTACGCTAAACTTTGAAAACGCATTTCTGAAAGCTCCTTATTGTTCTTTATGTTGTCTCGAATCCGGGATGCACTTTGTTTTCTATGTATAAATTGCATAACTGTTTTTATTAAGCAAATATTATTACAAAATGACGGCAACAAAAGCCGCAAACTCAATCGGTAAAACAGGATAGCTTTAGGATCCCATTAACTGATAAATAGTTTTATGTTTTGACAGAGATAAGAATAAGAGAGCGGTCAGGATCGTGGTCGCTCTCATTCTTCTCTCTGGTTTTGAGAAAAAATATAAGAAAAATAAGCAGAGTGACATTATCGACGCGACGCAACGTTTTAGACAAATTATGGTTAGTCGGTAAAACGCTCGCTGACGCTACTATAAACGACTGGAGATAAAATCATCCCCTTTTCCTCAGACCTCTGCTCTATTCTACGAATGTTTGTTGTTCATTATACATCAACAGCATATACAGTGTCAAAAATATTACTAAAATATACACATTTGAAGAAATAACACACCTATTTGTTTGCTTTATGCTTTTAGTCTTTTAAAGGTGTGTGTCTGTTCCATTTTAAAAAATATATAAATTACATATATATATATGTATAAACAAAACCCTACTATAAAAAATATTTTGTGTATAATATTATATGAACCAATATAAAATCATATAAAATATATATAAATATATACAATTATATATCATTTTTGTATATTGCATACATAATATGCAATTATATATCTATATGTACATTTGGCAATTATTTATTTATATTTATATTTATAACTATTATACTTGGAATATATAATTTAATATAAGTTTGTGATATACTATTAAACACAATGTAAATAAACAAAAATGATATATACTTATATATGTTTTTCTATAATGTTATACAATTTTTATGGTTTTATATAATGTTATATACAAAATGTTTGAATGAATTATCTCTTAAAATACGTCTTAAAATTAAAATCTGAATTTTTAATAAACTACTTGTTTTATGTGCATTTTTTTAACAAAAAACAAACAATGATTACCTTGTTAATCTAAAAATAAAGAAATGTGTACAAAATTACTTTTCGTGTAAAATTATGAATTATTGATACAAGTATTATTATTTTTTATTGATTGAAAACTCAATTCTATTGTTTACTACTTTACAGAAAAAGATTTTTTGTGAGTTTAATGTATCCAAATATACATATATGAGAAAATAAATAGTTGTACATCTTGTGAGCAAAATTTCTATGCGATCGATTCGATTGTGTGTACAATACTTTGTGAAATATATATAAATGATGCAAAAACTTAATTTTTAAGTTTTTTCTTCAAGTATGTTACCTTTTCGCTACGTACAAGCTCTTTAAAAATATACTATTATCTACAAATATAAAAACACATATTTATACTATTAACAGCTTAATGCAAGATTATTTATAAAGATTAAAAATAGAAACAATATAACAAAATAAAATAATGTAAACATAAAATAAATTTCTTAAAATAATTTGTAAAGTTATACGATAGAAAAACTAATTTTAGGGAAAATGATTTTATTACGGTTACTTTTTGAAAAAAACTCTTATTTTTTTATTTTTAATATTTTACTTGTTTCTTTTTATTCTTTTATCACACTTGCTTCAATGGCACAAAAAACATTAGATATTAATTGTTTATCGCTGAAAATGATTTTAATAATTTTTTGAATCCGTAGCGAAAAGGTTGCTTTAATGAATAAATAAAGAAATTATCTCTCACTTTTTTCTTGAAAAAATTATTAATGAATACTTGCATAAATCACGTATATGCATTTAAAAAATTATAAAACAGACGAAGATAAAAATCTTAAAATTGTAAAAGAGAGTTGTAAATTAATTTTTTACATAAAATAAGTCTGTTCCGCAATTAGAAAAAGTCATATTTTAGTAGGAAATCGTATTTGTGTTAAAAAAAAATTGTTTTCTAAAAAAAATTAACTTCTATGCTTATTTGTTACCTTTAATTTTATTTTTGATTATTGCCTATGACTCAAACTGAAACAGAAGAACAAACCAAAAAATCAAGCGAATGCGTGTATTCGCGCTAGCACGTCGTCATTTTGATGACCCTGGTCACTGCGATCATCTTCGTAGCTTGTTGGTCACATGGAATGTTGAGGAGGAGGAAGCATGATTTCGTATCCTGCTGGCATACTGTGTTGATGATGACCGCTTGACATCATTTGATGATGAGTTTGTTGGTAATACTGATGATGCATACTTGAGTGGCTGGAGTAGTAGACCGAACTCTGTTCCATATCTTTCCCTTTTAAATTCAAAAATTGTGAAAATTAGATTAACTAAAGCTCG